GAGTGCCTAACTCTTCCTAAACCCTGATTTTCCAGTGCAGTCTTTTATTGTTTTTGGGGGTGTTGGTATATGCTTTTACTTAGAGGGGTCAGCTTTGAGGCAGAGATTATCTTCTAGATTTATTTTGTTTTTAGGAAATTGAGGAGGGCATTTGATTTGAGAAATTGGTACTGTGTGCCTTCCATGTGCGGCTGCTGTGGAACAAGTGGTAATGTTAATTGCAGGGAGAGTAGGACCTTCCCACTGTACTAGCAGCAGGACAAAGTAAGGAAGAGTTCTGCTCCTTTCTCAGCTCCTTTTGACCTCTCTCCCTAGGCAATAAACATTCAAGTTTGCTTTGTGTGGGGCACATGAGTGGGTTTACCAGGGGTTTTGTATTTCAGCACATAAACCATAGTGTTTAGTACCTTAACAAATCAAGAATCAATTATCTGCAAGAATAAGCAGAAGGTTTTTTTATGTCTAGAATAAATTAGCTTAAATGCTAAAACCAGTCCTTGTGGATTAAAGAAGCACTTGGAAGCAATGAAGTATATTTTTAAAATGCACTTGACATCATACACTGGAATGAAATTAATAGATCACTACACAGGTTTCATGTCTTAGAGGAATAGTGGTGGCTTTTTAAGGTCGATTTCTAAGGCACTACCAATATGTATGTAGAGGTAGTTGAATTTGATAGAATCATGGGGAGAAATGCCATCAAACACCTGGTTAAAAGCGTATTATTTGATTATTATCTTTGAGAATTCAGGCCACTTAGCTTTATTCTCTTTTTTCTTTCTTTCTTTTTTTCTTTTTTTTGCTGAAAGATGTTGGTCAGACATACCTTTAAGATGATGGTGGTGACTGTCTTGGGAGTCTCTTAAAAGGAGAATTAAAGCAAAGACACTTTAAATTGGTTTTCATAAGGGTCTAAGTCTTTCCCTCCCAACACACACCACATCTACTATTTAATATCATCTAGGCTGTATTATGTTCATGTACCCAAGAATTGTGAATTCTGTTTGTGTTAACCCACAGAGGAATTTAAAACCACAAAACAAAACCTCTAAAACTGCTTCCTTTCATGGATTCCCAAGTAGCATGAACCAATTTCAGCTGTCCCTACATGGTATGGTAGTGAGATTTTCCCCAATAGCTAGCATTGCATTTCTCTCTTTAAAAAGCATTATTGAGACATAATTGGCTTATAATAAACTGTACATAATTTAAAGTGCACAGTTTCATAAATTGATATGTGTATACACTCGTGAAACCACCAGCACAGTCAGGATAATAAAATACCCATCTCCCCCAGAAGTTTTCTCCTGCCCCTTTGTCATTGCTCCCCCACCCCCACATCCCCAACCAGACAGCTACTAATGCTTTCCATCCCTAAAAACTAGTTTGCATTTTTTTTTAAATTTTACATAATTAGAGTGATATTGTATGCACCCTTGTTTTAGGCCTGGCTTCTCACTCAGTGTAATTATTTTGAGATTCATCCATGTCATAGCATATGTCGATCATTTATTAGGATTTTTTTGCTAAGTAATATCCTATTGAATGACTATGTCAGTTTCGTTAGTCTCTTGCCGCTGGACATTTGGCTTATTTATAGCTTTTGGCCATTATAAATAAACCTTATATATGTGATCTTTAAATGTTTTCTCCCAGCCTGTGGCTTGTGTTTTTATTCTCTTTATAGCATCTATTGAAGAGCAAAAGCTTTATTCGTTCTTTAAATGCTTTTGGTGTTGGATCTAAGCCATCTTTGCCTAATCCAAGGTCACAAAGGTTTTTCCTATGTTTTCTTCCAAAAGTTTTATAGTTTTAGATTGTACATTAGGTCTATGATTAATGTGTTGATTTTTATACATGGGGGTGAGATATGGATTGAAGTTGATTTCTGCATACACATCTCTAATTGTTCCCGCACCATTTATTGAACAGGTTGTTTTTTCTCCACTGAAATGCTTTGAACTTTTGTCAAAAATGAGTTGTCTGTGTATTTGTGTTTCCATTTGCAGACTTTATATTTCATCGATTTGTCTTTATATCAATCTACTGTCTTGATTATTGTAGCTTTATAATAAGTCTTGATCTCAGAAGCATTAGTATTCCAACTCTGTTCATCTTTTTTCAAAGTTGTTTTGGCTCTTCTAGTTGTTTTAATTGTAGAATCAGTTTGTCAGCTTCTACAAAAAAAAAGCCTGTTGATATTTTTATTGAAATCATATTGAATTCATAGATCAACCCGAGGAGCTTTGAAAAGTTGACCAGTATCTATACTGAAATTCTAGTCTTAGAGATGGATTAAAGAGGACAGTGTGTAAGCTGATACAGTGTGGAAAGATGGGATGGAATGGCCCCCAGGTGTGTTGATGGAGGAGAAGGACCAGGCTGGGGAGTTTGAGTTGAGGAATGAGTGATCATAAATTAGCAAATACTTTGTCCAAAAAGCCTCTCAGAGAAGTGCAAGGGATGTAGTTGGGTGGGTGGTTCAGGGAGTAGCTCAAGTAATGATTTGAAGCTGAAGTCAGAAGAACTAGCCATATTTCTTCTAGAAAGCACTATAATGGAGAGCTCACGCTTAGCATAGAGAGGAGGTAGAAGAGGAAGAGTGTGACCAGAGGAGGTTCCATGGCTGGGAAGAGGACCATCGGTCCAAAATGTTGTGATGCAGGGGACACTGAGGGTGACATCATGCTTTAATGATTGCTACAATGCCTGAGTCTGATACAACAATGAGGGTCAGTTATACACTTGAACTGATTGCTTGTCTAGGACAGTGGGTCTCAACTGGGGGTGATTTTACCCCCAAAGATGACATTTGACAATATCTAGAGGCCTTTTTGGTTGTCACAACTATTTGGGGACCAGGGTTTCTCCCACTGTCTTCTAGTGGAGAGAGGTCAGGGATACTTCTAAACACCTGCAGTGAACAAGACAACCCCAAAGAATTATCTGCCCAAAATGTCAGTAGTGCTGAGGATGAGAAACTCTGGTCTGGAGAGTGAGAATCAGAAAAGAAGGCGGAGGCCCGGCGAGGTGGCTCACACCTGTAATCCCAGCACTTTGGGAGGCAGAGGTGGGTGGATCACTTGAGGTCAGGAGTTGGAAACCAGCCTGTCTCACCTAAAAATATAAAAATTAGCCGGGCATGGGGTGGCGCACACTTGTAATCCCAGCGATTCAGGAGGCTGATGCGGGAGAATCACTTGAACCCGGGAGGCAGAGGTAGCAGTGAGCTGAGATCGTGCCACTGCATTCCAGCCTGGGCTTCAGAGTGAGACTCCATCTCAAAAAAAAGAAGAAAAAGAAAAAAAGAAAAAAAAAGGAAGGTGGAATGAGAGCTGATTGGTTGCTCTGAGATTTCATGTTTTCTTCTGAGGAGAAATATTTGTTCTCTTGTATAGTGACTGGGATGTTTCCCTGGATGATAAGAAATTAGTCTGTGGGACTCTTCTTTGGGGATATTTTCAGAAGATTTCTAAAAAGGTTATCGAATAAAGCTAGTTTAACAAAAGAATAGCTTGACTAAAAGTAATTGGAGGAAAATTTTAGCATTTGAACTAATGTACTTAAGAAAATTATTCTCTTTGGATGTGACGTTGTCCATAGATGAGTTTGTCAATGAGTGTACTTTTCGATACAAGTAATAGAAAACGTAACTCAAAGTGATTGGAGGAAAAAAATTGCTAGCTGTGTAACTAAACAGTGGAGGCTGCACGCGGACGCTGGTCCCGATGCTCAGTGCTGTCTCAGGGACACAGGTCCTCCTGCACTGGGGGGCTGGTCCCGAGGCTCACTGCTGTCTCAGGGACACGGGTCCTTCTGCACTGGCTGCAGGCTTCCTTCCTGACTCATCCCTCAGTGTCTGCCCACAGTTTCCAGAGTTAATGGAAGAAGAAGAAATTTTCGTCTCCTACCATAATGGATTTTTCTTCAATTGGACCATTTTAAATTATGTGTTTAATCCTGAACATGGGAGTGTTTCTAGCATTGCCATCATTAGCTTAGACCTGCACTGTCCAGTGCAGTAGCCGCTAGCCACATGTGGCTCTCAAGCTCTTACAATGCGGATAGTCAAAACTGAGATCCAGAAAAAGAATGCGAAATATCTCATTAGTAATTCTTATGTTAATAGCATGCTGAAATGATAGTATTTGTGGATATATTGGGTTAAATGTTATTAAAATTATGTTAACCTGTTAATGTGACTACTAGAAAATTTTAAATTGTATAAGTGGCTCTGAATTGTATTTCTGATGTAGAACAGTAGCTTAGCGCGTTCAGGAGTCCTTGGAAATGGAGTGTTGTCAGTTCCACCCAAACTACATGGCTGATACACAGAGGGGAAAGAGAGAGATGGAATGGATATTAAGCAAGTAGCTCCAACTGAACACAATTGGTGAGACTGGCATAGGCAAAAAATGTTTGTTCATTTACTACTGTTTTACTAAAGATGAATGTATAGAAATACTACTGTACTACCATTTATAAAAGTTAATAACATAGTTTTGAAAATTATGAAATTACTATTGTGATCATGGTAACTAGTGAAACAGCACAAAGATATACAAAGAGAAAGTAAATAATCCCTATCCCTTCCAATCCCTGTATTTATCCACAACCTTAGGTAGTCATTGTTAGACTGGTGTGTATTCTTCCGTTCTTCACTTCATGTGCATACAGGTGCAGGTACATTTGCATACATTGATTTGTTGCAGTTGTTGCTACTACGTGTCTTAAACAAGAATGTTAAACACTCACTCCTCGATTTTCTTTTATCACCTTATCAGTCTGCCAAGTCTGTAGACACAAATTTATCAGATTTATTTTAATAATTATATTATGTTCTACATTATAGATATGCCACATTTTATTTAACCATTTTCCTATTAACTGACATTCTTGTTTTCAGTACTCCCTTTCTCCCCTCCCCACAACAAACAATGCTGCAATAAACATTTTTGTACCTATATCCTTACGTACTGGTCCTTTTTTTCCTATAGGATAGATTCCCAGAAGTGGAATTGCTTGGTCAAACGGTAGGTGTATTTCTAATTTTAATAGCTATCACTTTACCCAAAAGAATAACAAATCACCTTCACACGTAAGAATGCCCATTTCCTACATTCTCACCAGCACTGGATGTCACTGCCCTTAATTCTTTCCAACCTTATTACGCCTGGTCATTACTTTAAATTGCATTTCCTTCACTATCACTGATGTTGAGTATATTTTCATATGTTTACTGTTCATTTACATTTCTCTTTTCTTCATTTCATGCTCATTTTCACTGCCCATTTTTCCATTTAGTAGTGTTTTTCAGTTTCTACAAACTCTTACATGAAAGTATTAATCTGTTGTTGTATGCATGCAAATGTCTTTGCAGTTTTTATCTGTTTATGATGTCTTTTGCCAAATGAAATTGTTAATTATTGTTTAATCAAATATGTCTTTTTCTTTATTGCTTCTGAATTATTTGTTTTGCTCAGAGTGGTATTGTCCATCCCAAGGTCATGCAGATATTCTCTTAAATTTTCTCACCATTTTAAAAAAACATTCAATCTTCAACTTAAAATTTTGTACACGAGGTGAGGTAGGATTCTCTTTCTTTTTTTTTCCCTAGATGGATGACGAGTTACTTAAGTCCTAGTTAACACAAGAAACTGTATTTTTCATGGGATTGAATTGTTGTCCTTGTCACATATAAAGATGCCATATATATTTGGAACTGTTTCTGGACTCTCTATTCTGCTCCTATCTGTCTGTTTCTGTGCCAACACCATTCTGTTTTGAATACACTGGCTTTTCTAGTGACTTATAATTTCTGGTAAGTTCTCCTTCACTCTCCTTTCATACTTTCATGACTTTTTTTAGTCAGTTATTTTTCCACATTGTTCTGGTTCAACTAAAAATTTTAAATTGAAGGAATTTTATCCTAAATGCTTTTAAAATGAAAGGTAATACAACACTACTCAATAAATAGAACCAGATATTTAATATTTCTCAGTGTGGGGATCTCGTTACCTGATGCCACTAATTGGAAGAATATTTACTGAGAAACTAAAGATTACTTCTGTCAGTTTTAATTCTTTAAATGTGATTTACTTTATCTCTGTGATGATTGCACAGTTATGCCAAGATGCAAATATTGGGATACAGCCATAACTTTTTAATTATCCAATAATTAAATTATTGCATTAAAGCTTAAGGGGTTAAAGTGTTCAATGAATGTAAGTTTCTAGTTTTGTATGTCTGTTTATGTACCAAATTATGAAGTATACCCAAATCTGGACTGGTTGAGAGATTTGTAAATATGATATGAACAAAGAACTATAACTGAAGTGTACAATAAACCATGTACTTTGGAATCTTTTGTGATTTAATGCTTTTTAAGCTTAATGTTGAATATTACATGGACTTCAGAAATTTTCACACTTGAAACTATGGACGAAGTTTTCTAGTATTTGATAGCTTTTGACCATTCTTTTAAATTTACACTGTATTAATATAATATTAACTTAATTGTTTTTACTGACATTCTTAATTTCTTTTTAGAATTCATTAGCTGGTATAATACTAAAGTAATAAATACCTTGTGTTTTTCTAAAGGCATCTGAAATATTGGAGCTAAATACTAAAACTGGGATTAAAAATAATGGTAATTTTAGCTTACAAATGAAGACAAACAAATGTGAGGTCTCTATTTTACTTATGGAAGTAGAAGGACATCCCCATGTAGTTTCTACCTATGTTTACTTGATGAAGTAGAAAAAATTATTAGTTTATTCTGTAGCCAAAAATAAAATGGTGAAATGATTGGTATATATTAATGAATGGTATATATATAACGAGTGGTATACATTAATTACATACTTAGATGACATAAAATTGTTTTAAAAATTGAGATTTTGTTCATGATCAGCCTGGTCAACATGGTGAAACCCCGTCTCTATTAAAAACATAAAAATTAGCCAGGCATGGTGACACGTGCCTGTAATCCCAGCTACTTGGGAGGCTGAGATGGGAGAGTTGCTTAAATCCGGGAGGTGGAGGTTGCAGTGAGCCGAGATCATGTCACTGCACTCCAGCCTGGGCGACAGAGCAAGACGCTGTCTCAAAAAGAAAAAAAAAAAATGGAGATTCCTTCTAATTTTAATAGTAGTATAATTCACAGAAATAGATTGATGTAGCACTTTCTTGCATGTATATGAATATTAAAGATGATAATTAGAAAAGAAGGGGAAATTAAATTATTTGCATTAAGGCCAAAAAAGGACAGTCAACATAGAGTTAAACTGAAATCTTCCATATGAATTTATCATCTTTACTAAATCAAAACAATTTTTCCATCTCATTCAAAAGAAGGTAATAAACAGGCTGGGCATGGTGGCTCACACCTGTAATCCCAGAACTTTGGGAGGCCAAGGTGGGCAGATCACTTAAGGTCGGGAATTCGTGACCAGCCTGCCCAACATGTTGAACCCTGTCTCTACTAAAAATACAAAAAACTAGCTAGGCATGGTGGCACATGCCTGTAATCTCAGCTACCTGGGAGGCTGAGGCAGGAGAATTGCTTGAACCCAGGAAGCGGAGGTTGCAGTGCACCGAGATTAAGCCCCTGCACTCCAGCCTGGGCAACAGAGCAAGACTCCATCACAGAAAAAAAAAAAAAAAAAAGGTGATAACAGTTACCTTCTCTAGTAGTCATACAAAAAACTAATAGTCACATTATTTACCCTGATTTTGGTCTCTAATATTATTCTCCACTAAAGGTCTTCAGGACTGTTTTTGGAACATAACTGGATGTCATGATTGAAATAGGCAGAATTTTGTTGGAACATTTTCTTTTTTTGGAACTCTTTCTCTCTCTCTCTCTCTCTCTTTCTCTCTCTCTGTTTCTCTCTCTCTCTGTCTCTCTCTTTGTTTCTCTCTCTCTCTCTCTCTCTCTCTAACAAGGGTGCTTTCAAGGATGTGTGGAGGTTGAGCAGATGAACCAAATTGAGGTAACTTCTGCTGGCCAGTAGTGAAAATTTAAGTAGCAAAGAGGAAATGGTAATTATAAGCCATTTTAACAAGTTGAACCTCTCAAAAGCCAAGAGTCAATCATGATATATTCAGAGGTGACAAATGATACAAACTATTGCTAAATAAAAGTCATATTGTGCTTCCAGTGTTTTCAAATAAGCTGCATTTTGAGCAACTCAAATTGTGTTTCCCACACTCATTTTAATCATTATCAAAATTGACAGTTGATAAATATAAAAAAAGAGTATATTTTAAATATAACTCTGTGTATCTGTGTAAATTCCACATTGTTAATTTTAAAGTAAAATTGTTTTAAAATAAAAGTAGAACCAGATTTAAAAACAGTAAAAATCACTTTATAACAGGTATCATAAGATTAACACCTGTTTCTTTTATAATACTTGCATTTAAGTGTTATAAATGTGTTTCTCTTATAATACCTACATTGAAACATTGAATGTTTCTTTTCTTTTCTTTTTTTTTTTTTTTTTTTTTTTTTTTTTGAGATGGAGTTTTGCTCTTGTTGCCCAGGCTGGAGTGCAATGGTGTGATCTTGGCTCACCGCAACCTCTGCCTTCCGAGTTCAAGCAATTCTCCTGCCTCAGCCTCCCGAGTAGCTGGGATTACAGGCATGCACCGCCACACCCGGCTAGTTTTTGTGTTTTTAGTGGAGACGGGGTTTCTCTGTATTGGTCAGGCTGGCCTCGAACTCCCTACCTGAGGTGATCCGCCCGCCTCAGCCTCCCAAAGTGCTGGGATTACAGTCGTGAAAATCTTTCTTTTATAATACTTATATTTAACCCTTGAATTTGTTCCAGGGCTGCTTAATTTCTAATGACTCTGGAAGATAGAGTTATTTACATTCGAATAGAGAACTTTTCTGTTTTTGTGAAACAAGTGAACATGAACAACCAGAAAGCCTGGGGGTTGGAGTGAGGATTGGAGTGCGCAGACAGTGCTGTGACTGTGGTTTATTATTACCAAAGCCAGAAAAATCACAGCAGCTGCAGTGGACCAAGATGCCCAAAAAGCTACTTATGATTAGAGGGTACAAAGTGATAAGCTGGGATGCACTAGAATAATAAAATAATGTTCACATGACTTAAAGAATAAGGTGGGGTGGCAGGGGGGTTGCCCTAAAACTGCAGCATTGGGTTAAAAAAAATATCATGTATGTTGATTTAAATGAATCAACTAAGGTTAGGTTAGAGCCCCTAAGTCTGACATAAGGATACTAAGCAAATGAGTATTCTGTGCTGACTAGAAAACAATAATATACCTCCAAAAATGTTCAGGTCTCATGTTCAAAGCAGCACTCCGTAAAGGCTGGGGACATCACTCCTGGACCTAATGAGGTGAGGTAAACTGCAGCCCACCTTCGTCAGAGGCATTCTTAATTTATATCAAACTGAAATAAAACCCTTCTGTGACATTGTAAAAGATGAAAAAATAGTACAACTAAAAATTAAAAGTGCGGCTGGGCACGGTGGCTCACACCTGAAATCCCAGCACTTTGGAAGGCTGAGTTGGGCAAATCACTTGAGCTCAGGAATTCAAGACCAGCCTGGCCAACATGGTGAAACCTCATCTCTACTAAAAAATACAAAAAATTAGCTGGGATGGTGGTGCACGCCTGTAATCCCAGCTACTCAGGAGGCTGAGGTGGGAGGATGGCTTGAGTCTGGGAGGCAAAGGTTGCAGTGATCCTAGATCATTCCACTGCACTTCAGCCTGAGTGACAGAGTGAGACCCCATCTCAAAAGAAAACAACGAATCAAGATTAATGTTTTGCATACATTAATTATCAATTTAAGACTTGTAAAGTTTGTGTACAAATGGCCAAGATAAAATGTAACTTCATGTAACGTTCTGATTAAATAATAATATCTTCTCGTGAAAATGCTGCCTTTATTCAATACTACCTTCAAGTATTTGGTACCATCTTAAATTGTCTTAGAATGAAATGCCACCAGTCTTTCATCTTTATTTTGCCTTAGTCCACTGGTAGAGTATG